TCTTGATCTTCTGACTTCATGATCCACCCACCTCAGCCTCCCAAAGTGTGGGGATTACAGGCGTAAGCCAACCGCACCCAGCTTGCTGCTTATTCTTACGACCAAAGAGGAATTCTACTAAATGTCAAATGAAGGATGTCTCTAAACTAGAAGACAAGTTAAAGAGCTTTGTTGTCATTTCTGTCATGGTGGTGGTGGTTGCTGGCTTTCTTGGAGAAATATATCTGTGATTTTCTCATTCGATGGGCCTCTGGCCCTCATTATCAGTCTTTTCCTATAATAAAAGACTAGTAATAAATACATATGGTATATTATCTAATATTCCTTACTATCATCCCAGAAAAACTTATTAAATATAAAAGTAAACTACTGATTGGAATAGTGCCTGTCAATGGTGACTCAATAATGATTTCTTCAAAGATAAATACCTTTAACTTTATCATCTGTACTTGTTACTCTCCCATCTCAGAAACTTATGACCTTCATTAAACCCCACTAGTTACTAGTTTGGTGACTACCTAGGGGGCTAGCAGGAAAGCTAACTCATAGGCTTATGACATAAGCACTCAGGCATCCTAAAGCCTTATCTGGGCCAAAATAAGTTACCTATACAAACTCTACTCCACAGCCTAGCTCTGGAAAATCAGGGAAAGAGAGAGTTCAGCACCCATAACACACTGCATGCCATTTCTTTTGTATTTCTTCTTAGCCAACAGTTAGGAAAGACTATTTTTTAGCTTTTTTCACTTTTCCTTGATCTTCTACTTTCTTAATGGCTGCTTGGATCGCCTCTTGGTCACCCAGGAACTGATGAGGCCCAACAGCACGCAGGTTTTCGTCCAATTCCAGAAGAATGGGGACTCCAGTAGGAAGAGTAATGTTGATGATGTCTTCGTCTGAGATACCTGTTGATCAGGAGAGGAAGAGACAGGTGCTGAAGATAACTCAGGAGGAAGTTCTGTTTAATTATGTAACTGCACTTTAATACCATTTAACTGTGTGCCTGAAACATGCAGATACTGAGGAATTACAGCTGTAATTCCTGAAAGCCAAGAACTTTCCAGAAATTACAAGAAAAAAGGCTTTGAGAGTCACAGCAAGTGCTAAATCAGGATAGTAGACACCTTTTGGGACAATCTGTTACTGTTACCTGTCTAAATCTGAAAGGAAGGAAAATTATTTTCTCTATGCCCACATTTGTGTTATTAGTTTTCCAAGGAATCAGATAATCTTGAAAAATCAGAAAGTGAACCAGGAGCATTTTCTGTGTTTTTCCTTTTATGTGTTGTACCCAGGCTGGTACTAAAATTAGGACTTTTCACTAATCTCTAAATCTAGTTCATTTTATTAGAATATGTTAGCTTTTCCCACACTAAGTGAGCTTGCAATACCATGAGCTGGATCCAGTTCAGCAGGAATGCTTTCCTAGGTGCTCAGAAAGCACAGTCAAGGGGAATCAGGATGGAATTTTACAGCATGCCTTGTAAACAGGGTTCGTTCTCCTATGGTCCCTTAACACTCCAGCTGCTAAAAAAGGAAGGTTTATGTAACTCGTAAGCCACTTTTAAAATACAATGAACTACAGGTAATTCAACTTTGACAGAAGAGATGTAGCTGTCATAGTAGCAGTGGTAGTAATAACATTTTTTATTATTACAAGCACTTTTAACAGTAAACAGCTAACATGTCCTGAGTACATACTTCATGCCAGGTACTCTTTTAAGCATTTTGTAGGTATTAACTCATTTAATTATCATTGCAATCCTATGACGACATATTATTTCTTCATGTAACAAGTTCTGACACAGAGAGGTTAAGTAAACAATTATCACACAGAGAGTAAATGGCAGAGCCTGGATTCAAACCTAGGTGTCTGTATCTACTGTATAATGTAACTCCTCTCAAGTTTCTCTGAGTTCAAAGTGAGCAAAGGGAAGGTATGAGAAAAGAGATGAAGTTCAACAAACTAAAAGTCAACTGAAAGTATTCAAATTATTTACTTTAAAAACATTCCTTTATTAATTACATAGACTTCTAAATTCTAACCATATGCTTCCTGTTCTACATTAACAGAAAGGATCTAGGTGGAACAAGTTCAGGGGAGTCCAAGGGTTTGTCTTTACTTGATGGCAGCACAATAAGTTGTTACCAGCTAGTAATCAATGCAGCTTTCCATTTTAATTAGCCGTTGGTCCTAACTGTGAGCACCAGCCAAAGACGTCACAGAATCGTAGCACCTGATCCTTATTGCTGGGGTGGCTCTTTATTAGAATTTCACTTGAAGGCCCAGAAGATCTACCTAATAACTTTTATATGCAAACTATCCATACTCAAACAGCTATGAGAAATGGAAAGGATCTTAATTTGGAAGACAGTGTCTCTTCCAAGTAAGTGTACTGTCCCATCACCTCCCCCGTCAGTCCCCCTTCAATGTACTGTGCAATTTTAGGGAAGTAACTTCTCTGGACCTCCAATTCTCCTGTCAAAAAAGAAAGAAAGAAACACACACTCTTCCTTTACCAGCATTTTAAAGGGTTGTGGGATAAAAGGGGTGGCTTAAAGAGAACATACATGAAAGAAGGGTAGTTCAATAAGTGTCTCTTTTTTCTCTATTAGGAATTCCCTTCTAGGTAAAAGACACAAAGGGAAGGCTACTAATATACTCCTTTGGCCTGCCAGGCTTCCACCCTCACACTGCAACTTTACACAAGATTACCATCACAAACTACAGCTGCTGGGAACAAATTCATTCAGACCAGACCTCTAGCTGTTTAGCAGGGAGATGACAGCCCTAGATTCTAAGCACCCTCTGGCTACATTAGGTCAGAAATGTCAGCTAGCTGCATAACAGCCACCACATACAACCCTTGGAAAGAGCAGGAAGGGAAGTCAACAGGCTGTGGTTTGGAGACAGGTTACCACTGAGCCTTTCAAATCCAACAGTGCCCACTCCCAAATCCAGGGGAAGCTGTGGAGCTCTCTAAACCTAACTCACTCACTAACTGGTAACTGAGGGCCCTTTATGTTCCTAGTACTCTGTGGAAGAACATGTGTGAGTGACCTTGGCCAAGATTTTACCTCCAATGAACTAATTTATAAAATGAGAAAGGATAGTCTCTACTGGCACCAACATTCCTTTATTTTATTTTTGATGGTTAAGAAAAGCAGAGGTACCTTAGAGGCACAAGAGCATGAGGACACTGAGCACTGTTTACATTCATCTACTGTGTATGGACCATGTTTTATCTGTTTCCAGAGTCTGTAAGCATACTGCTCACTAAATTGGAGAGAAAGATGGATTTTATAGATTTCTCCAATTAATCTAAATTTTCACTGTAAAATTAACTTGTTAAAAGATAACAAAAGTGATCATGTTTGACTGAAGTTTAACAGAAGTAGAATCTATGAGTGTACATATCTACCAGCATCTCAGATTCACCACTCACAGATGTGTGCTTTTGCAGTGTCACCAACTATTAAGTTCTTGAACCTAGGACTTTATTGTAAAATGACTGAACACTCTACTTCTATTCAACATCATATTTGAGGTTCTAGCCAGGGCAACTAGGCAAGACAATGAAATAAAAGGCACCCAGATTGGAAGGGAAAAAGTAAAACTACCTCTATTTTCAGATGGTATGGTCTCATCAAAGCCTATTAGAACTAATAAATTCAGCAAGGCTGTAGGATACAAGAACAATAAGAAAAGGAAATTGGGTTTTTAATACAGTAGCAATAAGCAACATGACAAATTAAGTAAACTTCTATTTATATTAACATCAAAAAGAATAAAATGCTAAAAATAAATTTAACCCAACAAGTACAAAAGTATACTCTGACTACTACAACATAGTGTTCAAATTAAAGAAAACCTAAATATGTATTTATGGATTAGAAGACCTAATACTATTAAGATGGCAATATTCCCTAAATTAACATACAGATTCAATATAATCCTATCAAAAATCTCAGCAGACTTTTTTGTATAAATTGAAAAACTGATCTTAAAGTTCATTTTGAAATCTAAGGTACTCAGAAGAGCCAAAACAATCCTGAAAAAGAACAAAACCAAGGGACTCATAGTTTCTGATTTCAAAACTTATGACAAAGCTATAGTGATCAAGATAGGCATAGATCAAGGAAATAGAATTGAGAATCCAAAATAAACCCTCATATTTGTTATCAACTGATTTCCAACAAGTGTGTCAAGACAATGAAATGCAGAAAGAATAATCTTTTCAACAAATCGTACTGGGTCTTTCCACATGTTAAAGAATGAAGTTGGATCCCTAACTCATACCTTATATAAAAATTAACTCAAAATGAATCAAAGACATAGATTCAAGCGCCAAAATTGTAAAAATTTTTAGGAAAAAACCATAGGAGTAAAGTCTTCATGACCTTAATGGTTTCTTAGATATGACATCAAAAGCATAAGCAATAAACAAAAAAATAAACTAGGTATATAAAAATTAAAAATGTTTGTGCTTCAAAGGACACTATTAAGAACATAAAAAGGCAGCCCAGAGAATGGGAGAAAAAATTGCCTATCATATATCTGATAAGGAACATGTATCTAGAATATATAAGAACTAACTGCCTCCAATAATAAAAAGACAAATTAGTGAATTTAAAAATGGGCAAAAGGTTTGAACAGAGATTTCTCCAAAGATATACCAACTGTCAATAAGCACATAAAAATAGGCTTAATATTACTAGCTATCAAGGAAATGCAAATAAAAACCACATTGAGATACTACTTTGTACCCACTAGGATGGCAATAATAAAAAGTCAGATTATAAGCAAGTGTGAGTAAGGATATGGAGAAACCGGAATAATAATACATTGTAAAATTAAGTATGCAAAAGGCTATAGCCTCTTTGGAAAACAACATGGCAATTCCTCTTGTTAAACACAGATCTACTGTATGACCCAGCAACTCCACTCCTAAGCATATACCCAAGAGAAATGAAACATGAGTCTATACAAAACTTGTGCACAAACCTTCATAGCAGCATTAATCATAATAGCCAAAGAGTGAACACAACACAAATGCCCATCAACCAATGAAAAGATAAATTAAATGTGGTATATCCATACAATGGAATATTATTTGGCAATAAAAATGAATGAAGTATTGATGCAAAGCACAACAAATTTCTTGGATGAACCTTGAAAGCATGATGCTAAATTTAAAAGGCCATTCACAAAGGACTACTTATTTCATGAGTCCATTTATATGAAATATCCATAATAGGCAAATCAATAGTGACAGAAAGTAGGTAAGTGGTTGCCCAGAGCTGGGTGGAACAGGGGAGGGACTAGGAAGCGGTAACAGCTAAGGGGTGCTGGCTTTCTTTTTAGGGTAGTAAAAATGTTCCAATATTGATTGTGGTAATGGATTACAATTTTGTGAATAAATGAAAAGCTATTTAACTGTATACTTTAAATAGCGAATTGCATGGTATGTGAATTATAACTCAATAAAGATGTTAAAATGTAGTAAACAGGACCGGGTGCAGTGGCTCACCCTCTAATCCCAGCACTATGGTAGGCCAAGGTGGGTGAATCACCTGAAGTCAGGAGTTCAAAACTAGCTTGGCCAACATGGCAAAACACCATCTCCACTAAAAATACAAAAATTAGCTCTGAGTGGTGGAATTACATGCCTGTAATTCCAGCTACTCAGGAGGCTGAGGCAGAATTCCTTGATCCTGGGAGGTGGAGGTTGCAGTGAGCCAAGATTGCGCCACTGCACTCCAGCCTGGGTGACAGACCAAGATTCTGCCTCAAAAAATAGTAATAATAAACAGATCCAGAGAGGTTAAATAAACCTTCTCTAGTCACCAAACTATTAAGGCAATAAAAATTGACCTATTTAAAAAAAAAAAAAAAATACCAAAT